AGTAGTTTAGAAATTGTAAGCACTTAAAGTATTGATAAAATGAATCATCAGACTTGCATGGAAGGTTCAATGCAGTGGAAGGTTTGAAGGAGACACATCCAATAAGCAACCATCCTACACATGTTATTCAAAATGTTGAAGCACTGGATCAAAAGATGTCCAGAACATCTCACTGCCAGTTCTAACACTGGAACGGAATAAATGGATATGATTCTCCAAATAATTGCAAATAAATTAGTTGGTTCAATAAGCTTTCTAGTCATAGGGAGCCTCCCATGAACTTTCAAAATTACACAGAACATGATGGAAGGCAGGTTTATTTAACTATAAATTATATTTTCCTACTAATTTGTCTTTGGTTAAACAAAAGTAGAGCAACATATTTGGATGGTAAAAAGTCACGTAGAAAGAGTAATAATGGGTTTAAAACTAATATGAGGAGAGGAGGAGAGATGAGAGTTCTGAGTTGGTAATCTGGAAACTCTAGGTATGCATTGGCCCTGGGGTGGGAATTCTTACCTCTAGCTCTGTTATTGAGATGCTGTTTAGCCTTGGGGAAGGCTCAGTTTCTTCTTCTGTAAAATGGGCACACATGCCTGTTTCAGAGAACTGGTGTGAGGTGCTGGTGACTAAGGCCTGCACACCTGCTTGGGAAGATGCACAGCATTAGAGCAGTAGCCTCACACTTGACCAGGATCCGCAGCACCTGGAGGGCTTGTTAAAACCCAGATGGCTGGGTCCAGCCCAGAGAGTTTCTGATTCAGCAAGTCTGGGTGGAGCCCAAGAATTTGCATTTCTAACAAGTTCTCAGGTGCTGCTGGTGCTGCTGGTCCTGCTGGTTTGGGACGACTGGTCTACAGCACACCAGGCTGGTGGGTGATTCTGCCTGGGGTGTGTGTCTTCTCTTCTTCTAAGGACATCAGTCATATTGGATCAAGGGACCACCCTACTCTAGTATGACCTCATCTTAACTTATATCTGAATCACATCTACAAAGATCCTATTTCCAAATAAGATCACATTCCAAGGTCCTGGGGGTTCAGATTTCAACATTTCTTTTGGGGGAACAAAATTACCAAAATATCTTCCAACTCCGGGGAAGCCTTCAGCTGACTACAGCTCCAGCTGACTACAGCTCCAGCCCGCATTTTACTGCAGCCTCGTGAGAGGCTCTGAGCCAGAACCACCCAGCTAATCCACTCTCAGATTCCTGACCCACAGAGTGTGAATTAATCATGTAGAGATTGTTCTAAGCCACTAAGTTTTGGGGTAATTGTTATGTGAAAATAGGCAACTAACACAAGGAAGGAGACTTGGCAGTGAACACTAAGACATCTAGTCCTGCTCACAGATCTTCCTGTCACATCAGCATTTGTTTTCAATCTGGGCCTTTTTGCACAACGTTTCACACTATTAAAACTTTTTAAAAAGTTTTGCAATACATAAGTCCACTTTGTTGAGAAGACATTTGTTCATTTAGTGGGTGTCTGAGCATTTCTGAATTTCATTGCAAATTCAGGCAGCTGACTCACCATGTGCCTCTCTGAGCGCTTCTGGGCCAGGCCACCTCATAGGCTACCAGGCAGCGCTCTGGCTGCTCTTGGGTCAGGTGCCTTGGCCACAAGGTACTGAGCTGGGCACCTGTGGCTCAGGGGTGGCACGGGTAGGTTTCTCTCTGCAGTGGCTGAGGGCACTGAGGCGCTGGGGAGGCACTAGGACCGGACCCTCTGCAAACAGGGCCCGGTTTGCCTTCTCCAGGAACAGGCCTTAAGTTCTGTGTGAATACAGCTCATTTGTCTCTCACTTCCTCTGCGAACAAAACCACAGACTGGCCCAGCTGCACCTACATGAGAAACCACATGGACCAAGCCACTTCCTCCCAGTCTGATCTGACCAAAAATACTTTTGATTTCCTGCCCCTATGTTATCTTCAAGATTGCCATTTGCTTCCTGAATTTCAGGATCACAGCTGACAAAAGCATATCACAACCATTAGTCATAGATGTGTATTTTTTTCCTGAAAATAATTTATTTTATTCATGTTTCCATCATCTACTTTGTCCTGCCATCTGGCAGCTACTTCTTTTTTTGTTGTTGTTAGTTCTTACCTGAGGATATTTTTCCAGATTTTTTGAGAGGGAGTAGAAGGGAGGGAGGGCAGGAGAAGGGGAGGGAGAGAAGAGAGAGAAACATCAATGTGAGACACATCGATTGGTTGCCTCCCACGTTCACCCTGACTGGGGAGAGGGGTCGAACCTGCAACCCGGGTACATGCCGTTGACTGGAAATCAAACCGTGGACCCATCTTTTGGTGCTCTGGCTGTCGATCTAACCACTGAGCACACCGGCCAGGGCTGGCAGCTCCTTGTTTTTATCGTAAAAATCATTTTGTTTCGCCACCATTATTTAGTTCCTCCCCATTTCTACTCCATGAGCAGTCAGTTCTACGTGGTCAGTGGGAAGTAGCTCAGGGAAAGCCCTAGGTGCTCTGCCCAGAGGGCAGCATCGGCGCCCGGGAGAGCGTTTATTGGGCGTATTTGGGACTAGCCCCTCCGGCTCCTTCTCAGGCTGATTTGAATCATCTTGGCGTGAAGCAACAATATGCGTTTGTAAGATAATTTCTGTTTCCTGGGGTGGGTGGCAGCCAGCCACAGCCGGAGACACAGGCCTCTGCTGGCTCCCTGGGGCGGGA